TAATAATAATTTTTGTATAATACCATTTCGCCTTTGTAGTAAATCTACAAATATTCTGTGATTTTGGGGTGTACATTTTCAGTCAAATGTTTCAGGTGATTACATATGCCATCATGCAGGCTTGCTAAGGTTTCCATATAAAGTCGATTCTTTTATTATAACTATACGGCCACATCACGTTGAAACACAGATTCCGTACGATCACCGAAGTTAAGCAACGTCGAGCCTGGTCAGTACCTAGATGGTTGACCGCTTGGGAATACCAGGTGCTGTAAGTTTGGATGTATGGCTGGTTAAATGGATAACGGCTGGGAATTATTAACCGGAGAGTCGAGTTCCAATTCCAGTAGTTCTTACAATCTAAAAATATTGCCTGGCTTTAAATAACCTGCAAAGGCTTGATAAATCGTAAAAAAAATGAACCAATCAATACAGCTGTCATTATTGCGGAATATTTGATTCCAGTATATCAAGAGATCTCTGAGAAACCGGGGCCACTTTCACTTTCTGGTATCTTTCATCTATCCATCGAATGTCCCCTGATTCTAATCAAAAGCCCAACATAGAAAAGTAAATAAATGATATTGCATTTCGGACGTTTTCTTTTACGTTTTATTTTTGACGGGATGTGTGGTTAGAAAATTGCGAAGTGAAATCTGAGAACCGCGTTCGAATTCTAGTCGATTTCGTTACGTTTACTTTCATGCAAATGCTTTTTGCAAAATTGTGTATCCATCTCTTCACCAAACGTCGTGGATAGAAAACATCGAAAAAGAAAAACTCTGAAATCCAAACCAGCCTGAAAGAGATGGGTTCCGTCAGGTTAACCTGTCACTACTGCTATTGTTGTAGAATATATGTTGATCCAAATGATGATTAAAAATTCAAAGGTGTGATCAGATTATGAGGCAAGTTAAAGAAAAATCTCACAGGAATGTAAGGGAGGTAATTCAGTGTTTTGGCTAGAGAAATTGTTTCGTATGTTAAAATCTATAAGAATCTGAGTTTACTAAATATCGAGAAACCCGCCATTTTCCTGTTCTTGCTGAAATAGAAATCAATTTTCTTGAGTTCAACAAATGAATGGATTATTTTTCTCCTCACAAAAAATAAGATCGACCGCTTTGCTTTAGGTTAATTTCATTTACTTGCCAAACAGAAATTTCAACCATGCCGTCGTTTAGTCCAATGGTTAAAGCGAAGGGTGTTATTGTAAAAGGATGCATTATAATATAGAGTTTTCTCTATATTAAAAAAAATGTCTGCTGCTTGTGGAGTGTTTACACGCACATACGTACCAAAAGATGAGAAATCAATGAGCTTACCTTAAAATGTACCAAATTATATCATACCTTTACGACTTACATAAACGTTAATATTTTTTTTTAGTCTATTATTTAATTGATTATTTGATTTGTTTTTTACGGCTTATCAACCTTTTGCAGGTTTTTTAAAGCAAGAAAATACTTTTCGATTGTAAGATTTTATTTACATAATAATGATTCACTGATACACGTTTTACTAATTAACCCATAGCTGGGGATAGAATAGGTGGGTTCATACCTTTCCCCAGGGCAATATAACGAATTCAACTGGAATTGAAACTCGGCTCTCCGACCCACACATCCACACTTACAACACCTGATATTCCCAAGCGGTCACTAGACCAGGCTCGACGTTAGTTAACCTGCGGTGATGGTACGGGAACTGGTTTTTCAAAGTGATACGGCCTTAAGCTTTTTAATCTATTGCAATTCCCGTAAATTGCTGGTAGATATATTGTATAAAATGCGAATCTCCTTATTTACTATATTATTGACAAAATCAACAACTACCTGTTGAAATCTGAGAGCTTAAGCGATCATCGGATCATCTGGTATGAAAATGCCAGTCATCATGTAATGTTAATTTCTATGTTCAAACTGTTTATATCTGCGAACGCCCTAGATCCAATATGGGTCACTCTTTCCTCCATAAATATAACCAATTTTAAACAATATAATTATATGTATATTTGTATAAGAAAGTTTCTGTTTAGCTGAAGAATATATTTTGTGTTTTGATAACTGATCTCTACGAGACTCTGAGTGGGTACAGATAAGTCGATATTTAATTTTCTTTCTTTCTATGCATATATACAAGGTGTATCAAAAATAATTTTATAGATTTTGGAGGCGGGTTCCTCACACCAAAACAAGGACGAAAGTTGATATAAACATATATCCACAAATGCTTTGTTTTTGAGTTATTAAGTTTAAAGAAAGTTTACGGTAGATGGCACTGTGTAGCCATGTAGACTAGGTTACATTTGTTATTCGTGTACATTTATGGCTTGTCTATCTTCAACATTTAATGCGTCTAGTAGTGAATTAAGAGAGAAGTGTTCCGTCTAACAATGGCTGGATATTGATATCGTGAGCAATGGTAATGGACGTCAGGCTGCACGGCTGTATCAATTTGCGTTTCCAGACTGAAGACAGCCGAATCTTCCAACCTTTGCTGCTGCTTATCTTCGCGCTGCCAAGACAAGATCGGGTAGCACCACAAACTATGGAAGACCGAGATCCGCTCGTACGCCTGACCATGAAGATAATAAAAGAATTTTTTGGATTGTATCTTGGATTGTATATTTAACAGCATCTATCGTAAACTTTAAACGTAATATCGCAAAAAAGATCGATTTGCGTTAGTGAGGAACCCGCCCCCAAAGTTTGTAAAAGTATTTTTGATGCACCCTGTATAAATTTACTCGCTCGCGCGTGGGTGTATCTGTGTGTTATATGGAGTCACAAATAATTTCTTTTCTTTTTATTTATCAACTTTATTCCTTAACAAATAAACTACAGTTACATTTTATCCAGTTATTCAACATTATTTGCAATGACTTGTTGCTGCTTATCGGGCATCTCTTCGATACATTTTGAGTAAAATTCCGCGAGATTTTATGTGAAAAAGTTTTCGACAAAGTCTTTCACTGGAGAAAGCTTTCCACATCAAAGCGTTTTGTAGCGATCGGAAAAGGCCATAATCAGTTGGTGTAAACTTAGGTGAATACCACCAGTGAAAGGGCCGGTGTGTACTACCCCGACACCCCCACCAATGGGGAAAGGTTAAGACTGATTTGGGGCCTCGGGCACTGCTTTGTGACCCTCGCAATCTCTTATCAGCATTTGCTTTTTTCCTACCTACATTTATATACGCTGAAAATTAAAGCACAAATGTTAAAGGATGAAAACTTTTCACGTCATTATGTGGTCCTGTTTTTTTCTTTGTTCAAATCCGTGAATTTGTTTTGCTCTTGCTAAGTCTCAAAGAAACACTATATAAAATTCACAGTATTTTTTTATCCATGATGTTAAATATATTAAAATTATTCAACTTTTTAACAAGAAAAATCTCAGTGTTAATAATTAACGCAAAACATTGTTGATTTACTTAAGATGGAACGATCTATTATGATATGTCTCCAATTTGTATTTAGATACGTCGTATTTATTTTCAATTTTTCTAGTTGAATTGTTCACCTTTATTGCATATGATACGTCATTGTACATAATTAGGTTACAATGAAAATTGTATTTTATATGAATATTAACTTATGAAAATTGACACATAGTAGAGTGGGGTGAACCGGATCATAGATTTGTCGAGGGGGGGGGGGCGTATCATAGTTTCAGGTTGGGGTACAAAACCCTTGCATTGATCCTGGTTAGTGAAGTAGAACAGACCAACCGAATTCCAAATTGCTATGTTGTTCCTGCGGTATGTGGTCTGGCTTTGTCATGGAGGAGAAAAACATTTTCGACCAAACTTTTGTGGGCACGCTGTAGCCGCTGGGTTTGTAAATATGCATTTACTGTTTCATTTTGTTCTAAGAACTCTAAAGGAATAATACTCCGAAGATCCCACAACATACAAAATATTAGCATTTTTTTTTTCGATAGAGCTCAGTTTTTGGTACTTGGTTGGGGACATTTATCATTGTCAATCCACCGGCTTTTGCGGTGTATATTGACTTTTGTTGTATGTTTGAATACTCCAACATTTAATCTTAACCGTCTGTTTTGTAAAGAATATGATACATTTGGCTAGCAAAAACGAAAATTACTTATGACTCAACTTAATGCAAGAAACGGAACTCTTGACTATCAGAGAATGGCAGCTGACCTTTCTTCCGATCCAACGTTAACTTCACAGTGGGGAAAAAGACTGTCTGGTTACATTCAATGCCTCGAAAACCAAACTAGTTCCATTTTATCATCGCCGACCAGACCCCGAACTAACGCCAGCCACGACGAAGGGATGTCCCCTCGAGGAGGCTCCGTGTCTTGAGAGAATATTGGGCTTCAAACTGACACCCGACCTCAAGTGGAACTCTTATATACGATCCATTGCTAAAGATGCGTGTAAAAGGATCAGCTCCCTGTACCGCTCCAGTAAGTACCTGACTCCTCATGCTATCCTCTATCTTTATAAGAGCCAGATCATGCCGAAAATGGAGTACTGTTGCTATATTTGGGCGGGGGCATTTTACTCTTCACTTTCCAGCCTTGATAGAGTTCAAAAGCATCTAGGAGAGCTTATTGGAGAAGTATTATTTTCCATCCTTCTACCTCTCTCTCTCTTACAGGCCGGATATGGCGAGTCTCTCACTGCTCTATCGCTACTTCCATGGAAAGTGCTACATTCCTTGGTTCCGCAAGGTCTAACCTTCAGATTGTAACAAACCACCCATATTCCCTCTGTATTCCATTGGTTAGAAGTAAGTACCACTCGGACAGCTTCTTCCCACGAACCAATGTCCTGTGGATGTTTCCCTGATCTCTATAATCTTAACCTGTTCAAGTCTACAATTAACCACTGTCTTCCCTCCTCCTGCCCATATAAATTACCCCTTAACGTAAACCTCTGCTTATAGAGTACCCCCCGAGCTTTATACAAGGCATACCCTGCTGTAAAAAAAAAATAAAAAAATAAAATGAAAAATAAAATTATTACTAATCTGTGATCGTCTCTATTGTAACAATGGTACTGGCCAAATGTTTTGTATTAGAATTACCGCAAACGTTATTTCATGTCTATATTTAGAATAAAAAGCAAAAACATGAATTCTAAAACATGTTAATTTCTAAATTATCCGAGGTCCCCTTGACTTTTTAACGCAATTATCGTTCTCTTGGTAAAAATAAACAAAGCTGAAGACGCAATCATTTCGTTCGCTTTAATCTTAATAGAAAATTATTCATTTTCTCACGAGTATTTAATCAAGTTCGCTTAATTTGTTACAAGACTAAATGGCGGTAAATGAGAGCATTCAGATTGTTTTACACCAATATCTCATGTGGGATGACTTGCTTGAGTTTTATATACAATTGCTTTCATTTCACCATACGCTGACGAAATGTGTGTTTGAAAGCTTATGGAGTGTCAAGGAGAGATAGTACCTTTAGCAGGTATGGGGGGTCATGTCCTTTTTAGGGCAGCTCGTCAGCCACTGGTCCTCACCTGTCACCCAGTTCTCACCTATGGCTCCTAGAAGCTGTTGCATGCAATAGCGGCCACCCCAAGCAACAGTATGACAAAAAGACAAAATTTTTTTAAGAGTTATAAAGAAATAGTGGAGAACCATGATCGTCTGAGTTCTGAGGAGACACAAAGAAGATAGAAGAACCTGTATATACAACATAGGTAAAAAAAAGCAATGATGCGTTTTCGCTTCTCTTTCCATCTATTCTCCATTTTGATTAAGGTCACAGTCTATTGCGTTTCATTAAAAATATTTTGCCACATAGTTTTGAATTCACAGACACATTTACTGCCAGATCTCCTGCCTCCCAGTGCGCCTTTTCTCCCACGTCGCTCGAGTATCTGCATACAAGTCCGAAGGAATTGTTTACTAGACATCAAATGAAGTCACACATTATGAAATGGACAAAGTCCGACAATTATTTTAAGACATTTTTTCATGTCTATACGTCCTTTTTATAGATACAAATATTAACGTAAAAGCTCTATTTATGATAAACAGTATTAACGACATTTACCGGCCTGAATGTCCGAGAAAATATGCGTCCTCCCACAAGAATCGAACCTGTATCCTATACGGAACCATCATATAGCCTGACGTGCTTTTACCAATTGTGCCACAGAGGAGCGTTTCGGTTAGCAATGTCGATTTTACTGTTTTTAAAAATCATGGAGAATTGTAGTTTAAAAACAGTAAAATCGACCTTGCTAACCGAAACGGTCCTCTGTGGCTCAATCGGTAAAAGCACGTTAGGCTATATGATGGTTCCGTATAGGATACATGTTCGATTCCTATCGGAGGACGCATATTTTCTGTGAAAATTTCTCGGACATTCAGACCGGCAAATGTCGTTAATACTGTTTATTATAAACAGAGCATTTACTTAAATATTTGTATCTATAAAAAGAACGTATAAACATAAAAAAGAGATCAAATGTAAATAATCATACACGCGTCATCTATTCAATCGAGGAAAGTATTTACGAAAAGCTGGCCTTAATTGATTCAGGTAGTATGAGATAAGATCAATCTAAAAGACATTAAACAAAAAATGTGTGTGCTGATATTACGGTGAGCGTGCAGCTTCTGGCTAGCTCGAAAAAAAAATGGGATAATCAAAAATGCCTTTCGAAAGCTAAGCAGGGTGTTCAGAAACAGAATAATTTCGTTAGAAACAAAAAAAAACACTACTGAACCGTTATGTGATATCTGCCCTCCTATATGGCGGTGAATGCTGGACAAAATCTTCAAAAATGAAGGCGATACTTGAAGCAACAGAAGGATGCTGAGGATATCATGGTTTAGAGAAAATGGAAACTCATACTTAACATCAGGAAGAGACAGTTGGAATTTCTAAGACACATAATAAGGAAAGAAGGCTTGGAAACTATGATATTCGCAGGACAAATTGAAGGCAAGATTGATTGTTTTTCTACGACTCATCAACCATTTGCACGAGATTTAAAGCCAGTATATATATATATATATATATATATATATAATGGTTTAGTGATACTAGTCTTACTAATTAACCCATAGCTGGGGGGAGAAGTGATGGATTCGTACCTTTTCCCAGGTTATTTGCGAGTAAGTGAATTGGAACTCTGCTCTCCGATTAACAATTCCGAGCTATTATCCATTACACCAACCGCACATCCAGGCTTACTGCAGATGGTATTCCCAAACGGTTACTCTCTAGGTATTGACCAGGCTCGGCGTTGCTTAACTTCGTTGATCGTAGGGCAGCCGATGTTTCAAGGGGATGTGACCGTAAGCCTGAAGGCAAGAGTGACAGAGGAAAACAACGTATAACCCACTCAGCGAGCTTGAGTAAATGGATGAGGTGGCAAGGTTTAGAAGAGATAACAAGAAGACAACATTTATTAAGAGCTACGAATGACAGGAAATTGTGGAGGACCATTTACTCCCAGATCTTCTTCTGCAATCAAGCACACTTCCTTTACCACGTCGCTCGAGTGTCCACATACAAGTCCGAATGTACGTAGATGTGGTCTACTAGACAGTAAGTGTAAATAATCGTATACGCGTCGTCTGTTCAATCGAGGAAAGGATTTATGAAAAGCTGGCCTTACTTGATGCAGGTACGACGAGATGAGATTCATCGAAAAGACGTTAAACAAAAAAAAAATGTGTATTCTGACATTACAGCGAGCGCGCGGCAACCGGCTAGCTGGAAAAAAATTGTCTGTAATTTTCGTAATTTTGCGCTGACGTTTTCGCTGATAACATCTCCATTTTTTTTTTCGACAAAATATCAATGTGCCCCATATCTGTCTACTTGACTATCTGTCTGTGCCCGTTTATACCTTATATCTTCATATCAATCGATCTTTTCTAGCTTGTCCTTTACATCAGTTTCCATCTACGAGGGGGTGCTGGAAGGTGTTCAAAACGACCAGCTTCACAAAATCAATATGCAAATGTTTGGTCATTGAAGGGAGACGGTTCAAGAAATGTTCATCACTTTCTTTCTTTCTTTCTTTCTTTTCTTTCTTTCTTTCTTTCTTTCTTTCTTTCTCAGTCTGTTCATTATCTATCTATCTGATTTCGTTCATATGTATCTATTTCAGTCAGTTCATATATCTCTATGTACCAATTTATTTCAGTACATTAATGTCTATGTATATATTTCCGCCCATTCATATCTATCTATCTATTTCAGTCCATTATTATCTATCTATCTATCTATCTATCTATCTATCTATCTATCTATCTATCTATCTATCTATCTGTCTATCTCAGTCCGTTCATATCTATCTATCGATTTCAGTCCGTTCATATCTATCTATCTATCTATCTATCTATCTATCTATCTATCTATCTATCTATCTATCTATCTATCTATCTCAGTCCGTTCATATCTATCTATCTATCGATTTCAGTCCGTTCATATCTATCTATCTATCTATCTATCTATCTATCTATCTATCTATATATATATATATATATATATATATATATATATATGTCAGTCCGTTCATATCCATGTATCTATTATCTATGTTAGTTTGTTCATATCCATCTATATATCTAGCCTTTTCAGCTTGTTCATATCTATTGCAGTCTGTTCATATCTATTCATCTATCAATCTATCTATTTCAGTTCGTGCAATATCTATTTATCTATTAATCTATGTCACTCTGTTCATACACACACACACACACACACACACATATATATATATATATATATATATATATATATATATATATTTCTGTCTGTTCATAACTATCAGTTTCAGTCTGTAGCATATCTATCAATCGATTTATTTTAAGCTATCTATCTATCTATCTATCTCAATATTTAGACTTTATGTGGGTCGGAATCCATCACGCCTTTTCATCTATGTGTGGTTCATAAAGTGCAGATTTCTTATCAAATAATCCTGATTCTACAGACTTTAAAAATTCTATAAAAAAAATCAAAATGCTGTTGATGGAATATGATACATTTATAGGTCGATATTGTACAAAACACACTGTTATCAAATGTCAAGAAATACGAGAACTTAAAATATTGCCCTCATTCTTCTGTTTATTCCTTTAACTTTAATTGTGTTATAATATATATATATATATATATATATATATATATATATATATATATATATATATATATATATATATATATAAAGTTATCTGTTTCTGTTTATCTATCTATATATGTGTGCGTTGTGTGTGTGTGTGTCTGTATATCCGTTCATATCTATCTACCTATCTATCTGTTCATCGTATTGACCAGAGCACGTTTAAATCGTCTAGTTTTGTCTCTGTATGTCTATATCTATCTATTTATCTATATTGTGTATCCATCTATTTCTTACTTGCGTGTATGTGTGCGTCTATCGGTATGTTTATACTGTATGTATTCATATATAAATATATATATATATATATATATATATATATATCCGTGCGATTATTATGTATATATATGTACGTATGTATGTAATTTGTACCTGTGTCAGTATATGTTTGCCAATCATGTACATCTCTCTCTCTCTTTCTCTCTCTCTCTCTCTCTCTTTCTCTCTCTCTCTCTCTCTCTCTCTCTATATATATATATATATATATATATATATATATATATATATGTATATGTGTGTGCGTATCAGTCTCCTCTGATCTATCTATCTATCTAGCTATCTATCTATCTATCTAGCTAGCTAGCTATTTCAGGCTATTCATTGCCTATCTATCTATCTATCTATGGAAGTCACTCTTCAAATCAATCTATCTTTAGTCACTCTTCAAATCTATCTATCTATCTATCTATCTATCTATCTATCTATCTATCTATCTATCTATCTATCTATCTATCCAATAAGCTTATTTAACAATGAGTTTTTTTCACTAATCTTTTGCTCTGTTCCCCCCCCCATCAATTTCTATCAATATTTTTTCTGTGTGTTTTATTTTTCTTCGTCCTACTCCCTTCATTTCGCTACCTGATTCTGCTAAACTCTACCTGGCACCTTCCCAGTTATGACGACTGCGTCTGTCCCCAGGGTTCGCGCTATCAGAAATAAAAGTGTTGGTGCTCTGCCAAAATTCCACATTGTTTATTGGAATTTAACTTATTCAGACAGGACAGAAAACAGGAAAATTGTCCAAAGTATTTTTTAAAATTTTACTTTGCTTTTATCCATTTATTTTTTCTTTGGTAATTAATCCTAAGTTCGTTTCAGAAAAATAGTGATTTAGTCATTTATAAAGTATACACACGCACACACACACACACACATATATATATATATATATATATATATATGTATGTATGTATGTATGTATATCTGTAAGTATGTGTATATTAAGGTAGACATACGATTCACATAAATAATGAAGAAAGTATTTAAATTTACTGCAATCTAACTATTCTAAGAGATAAAGCATAGCAAATGTCTTTAAAAAGGTTTTATATATATATATATATATATATATATATATATATATATATATATATATATATATATATATTTTTCAATATGTTTTTCAATTCTTTTTTACCATCCGAATTGAAAGGTTCGTTTTATCTTCTGTTCAAATTTGATTTTAAAAAAATTGCTTCTTTTAAATTTACCTCTCAAAATATATTATATTTCTATAGGGCACAAAATTTCCACATTGCAATTTCTTAAAGGAATGCACAACATATAATTTAGTCTAATTTTTAAAAAAAAATGTTGAAGAACAGGATACACATAAAACACGGTGAATAATTATTAGCTCCGTGCAAGTTTACACGATTTTTTCATTTAAAAATAACAATTTTCTAGCGTATATTTAGTTTGTAATTTTCAAAAAAAAAAAGCTGTAAGAAGCGCGCACACACACACATATATATATATATACGCTCACACAAGCACACAAATATCCAAACATGTTTGATTAAAACGAACCGAAAAGGTATGTCTTTTTAATTGTTTATTGTATTTTACAATTTTCGAATAAGGTTTTGAGTATCGTTGAAGTTGTGGATAAACTGTCCAAAGTTCATATTTTGTTATTGTTTTGTTCAAGTACTCTCGACCATCTCAGTCATATTCAAGAACCAATGTGGTGCCTGTGTTGAATTCTGCCTACCACACAGACATCATGCGTCGAATCATGAAACAGACTGTTGCAGCTGGTGTTGACCACAGTTTCTATTTGTATATTTCCATACGCTCTATCCATGATAGTGAGCACTTTTAACTATAAATTTAGCATACGTAAAAATTTTTTCATGTATATATATATATATATATATATATATATATATATATATATATATATATGATTCGTGTATACGGAATAAATAAAGTTTCAAAACTATCACTTGAGAAGGCACCAGAAGTGTTGAAACAAACTGGCTATTTTTTAGTGATTTTATAACATTTTCATGTTATAATTTTCGATTAGATTAAATGATTTTATATATATATATATATATATATAATTATTTAGAAAATTTATAACATAAACATGTTATAAAATCACTAAAAATGTCTTATCAAGTGATGATTTTGAATGCAAAACAAATATATATATATATATATATATATATATATATATATATATATATATATATATTCATTTGATGGATTGAGTTTGTGACCCTAGGTTTCACGCTTTTGCAATCATCAAAAACACACAATTATATATATTTGCCTGATGATCGCAAAAGCGTGAAAGCCAGGGTCAAAAATCATATTCATACAAATGAATGTTAGCTCTATCACTAATATTGAGCACTTTCCAATAAGTACCGCGTATATTATATATATATATATATATATATATATATATATATATATATATATATATATATATATATATAAAATATATATGTGTGTGTTTGTGTGTATCTGTGTGTGTAAAGGCACAAGCACACCCAATTACAAATACGCACTACCATCCGTTGCCCAGGTAAACATACAAAATTATCACAATTCTACCCGCACATAGAATTACTTTAACGGTTTTAATACACGTGTCTGACAAATATCAGTGTTTTCGATCTGTTTGACTGTTCTCTCTCAATCTCTGACGAAGCTTTAATAAAAGTGAAACATGTTAGATTGATGTACATTTCCTATTTGTTCTTTTTATTTTATCATCCTGACGAATTTCGATCCATATTTGATCAACATTCGATCTTTTAATTTATATATATATATATATATATATATATATATATATATATATATATAATGAAAAAAGAATCTTTAAAGAACCATAATTGATGTTAATAAATTTATTTCATGGGTAAAAATAACCAATTGTTCAGACCAATATATATATATATATATATATATATATATATATATATATATGTATATATATATATATATATATATATATATATATATATATATATATATATATATATATATATATATATATTTGTTTGAATAAAAATAGACCACTTTTAGTTCCATGTAATAAATTATTTCATTCAACCTTTTTTTTAGGGCTCTGGATCATCAGACTTTACTTCAAAGGTTGATTTTTTTTTTTGTTTTCATTTCAACATTTGGATGTAAAGTCTGATGATCTAGAGCCCTTTAAAAGGCCGTGTGGTGAAATAATTTATTACATGGAACCTAAACATATTCAAACATATTTGCTCTGAATTTACATTGGCCTCTCGATATCATCCTCCTTGGATCTACCCATACGGATTACCTAGTTTTTTGCATAAACTATATATATATATATATATATATATATATATATATATATATATATAATGTGTTTTTTGGCAGCAATCCATCTTTCATGCAAGTTTCATTGAAAACGACTGCAAAAGTACTGCGGTAAAGCTTTTTATTCACTTTTTTCTTGTGTTCGTATAATTGATTTCTTTTCTAGACATAAAGTATGTAATAAAACACCGTCTGAATATTCTATATGTCCGAGCGCTTTCGGCTATACTTTTAGTAATTATCAAGGAAGAACTTTATTTTTACTTTTAACTGAATGTATGGATTGTTTTATGTGTGAATCTATAGTTATAGGAATCTTTTATTTTCCAAACACGGTGAGCAAAATGTGTCCGTGTTCATATTTGATATTACTGAGTATTGGCTTTTTTCTTTTTATCGTTAATGCTTACTTAATTTTTATGCTATTTTACATGCGGTTGGGGTTATTATATTTGTATTATCAACGATTATGTTACGGATATAGTTTGGTAGGTCCCCATCTGTATTTAAACGAGACCTAATTGAGCTATTGTCAGAAAGATGTAACGTGATTTTTACTGGTAGGCATGTTGCAGTATATCAGATATAATTATTTATGAATTTGGTTTGATCAGGAACACAGTACCTTAAGGGTCATGTGAATTCGTAAATAATATTGGCTGTCTGTAATTTGGATATTGCAGGTGGGTTATTATTTTTGACAATGTACTGAGCCGTCTATTTTTTTTATAGTATATATATATATATATATATATATATATATATATATATATATATATATATATATAAACACAGCAAAACTCCAAAATTACCTCATGTGGGTATAGCCTATTTCAGCTGGCTCAACCTTGCGCCGGTCTTTTTCAACCCTAGACTGAATCTGTCTCGGAATCAGGTAATTAGAATTTATTTTAGATAGCAGTCGAGGAAAAAAAATACCGAACCTACCCAAAATGACGCCTCTGCGAGATAAAACGCCCGAGTCGGTGGTAATGGAAGGGCAGGAGGTATCTCTCTAAAAGGGTAAGATGTCCGCTGGAATCAACCCCGATATTAACCTTATGATCCTAAGTTGGGGTCATATGAAGAGTGGGGTATTGAATTGAAACTAAAAGAAGGGCCAAAAGGGGAGTTTATTCATGACCCAAACCTTTAATTACATATAAAGGAATTTAGCTTCCCGTTAGGGAATACGAAATTACACTAAAAACAAATATGTATTGATAATATTAGCAATAACTCGTATTTAGACAATATAAAGAAAGAATAGATTTAAAGGTTTTGTATTATTAAGGATTGGGGTTTTTAAAGATAAGAATTTAAAGTTAGACTAAATTATCCATTTATAACTTTAAGGATAGATTAAATTATTAGAAAAACCAAGCCATACCCGAAATAAAAAAAATAATCAAAGCGGTTGCGTAAATTAGGGGACTGTTATCAGACAGGATTAATATGGAGAATAGAGGGTAATTGTAGAAGTTAATTATCGTTATATATTCAACATTAGAGGGGAGCTTTGGGAAGTACCAAGTAGGATATATATATATATATATATATATATATATATATATATATATATATATATATATATATATATATATATATATATATATATATATATATATATAAGGAGATAAACAGATATCGTACATACATACAGGTATACATACATCCTTATATTTCACTGTGTTTACTCCGATATCTGACGGTGGATATCAAACTTTTATTGCTTTTATCTGTCCGTAAATGTCTTTTAAAAATTCCCCTTAGGGACTTTCTTTTCGAAACTATACTTTTTTATGTTTTCCTAAATAATAAAAACTTCTTGAAGTGTTTATCTTCGAATTATAGATCTTACGAGACTTTTACCGGAGATGTGTCTTCCTTTGTCTGCTGCATCCTCTCAGTGAGTGAGAGACCATGGATCTCCACAGCTTCTCGTCTTTTGTAGCTCTAAGCAACGTTTGTCTATTCTTCCCATCTCCCCGCTGCTAGACATTGTCACAAAATCACAAAATCATTAGGTAAGTTACCCGCTGTTTCTCAGCGGTGCTCTTTGTTTTCGATATGGCAAATTCTCCAAGTCCTATTTCTCCATTATGCATCAGGGCTTCCCCCCACCACCATCACGTTGAAACACCGATTCCCCGTACGATCACCGGAGTTAAGCAACGTCGAACCTGGTCAGTGCTGAGATGAGTGACTACTTGGGGATACCAGGTACTGTAAGCTTGGATGTGCGGGTGGTGTAATAGATAATGG